TTAGTGAATATTTTAAGCGATAATGCCTCGTTAAGAAGTAGCTCGTCTCTCGGTAGGCAATCTAAGCGCTGCCTCGCTTGGCTTGTGGCGAATTCACTGGTGATACCCATATTTCGATTAGAATATTAGCTTTTTAGAAAACCGCAAAATTATCGCCATAGACGTCAATTTCTTTAAAAAAGTAGTGTAGAAAATTTCCATTTCAAGCAGGTTCTGATTAATTTGAGTCTTAAATGGAGTTTATCCTTTAAAGAGTAAAGTACATACCATTTCGCGTGCGAATTGCAGCGCTGTAGCTTGAATAGTTACGGAGATAGAGCCATTTGAAGTTGACTATTATTTTCAGAGCTTGTAAGATGCGAAAATACAAGGTTTTCAATTTAGCGTTCGTAGAGGCCTCATGTCTCATCCGCATATAACAAATGAAGACAGTTTCTAAAACTACAGGAATTTAGAAACACATCTGTGTCTCTAGAATTGATTTATGTTACATAGTTTGTGAAATATGCTCGTTTAACTTTTGTGTTAAAAAATAGAAAGTATCGTCAATCGACGAAATTTTCAGATTTTCGGCATGTCACAGATTTTTCTGAAAACCATGAACCTAGCACGAAATTATATGGCGAATTCACTGCTGATATCTATTTTGATCAGTAGTTTAGTATTTTAGAAAATCGCAAAAGTATCGCCATAAACGTCAATTTCTTCCAAATAGCAGTGTAGAAAACTTCAATTTCAAGCAGGTTCTGGTTAAAGGAGAAACTCAATTTAAGACTCAAAATAAAGAGCAAAGTACAACCAATCTCGTATGGGAATTGTAGCAGCGTAGCGTGATTAGTTTAGGAGACAGAGCCGTTTGAAATTGTCTATTATTTTCAGAGCTTGCAAGATGCGAATATGCAAGGCTTTCGATTTAAGGTTCCTACAAGCCACATTGCTCATCCGTACATGACAAAGGATGACATTTTCTAAAACTACCACAATTAAAAAACACATCCCAATCTCAAGAATTGATTTATGTTACATAGTTTTGAAATATTCTGGTTTAATTTTTGTGTTAAAAAATGTTAAGTCTCGTCGTTACATGGATCGTTGAAATTTTCCCATTTTCGACATGTCACGGATTTTTCTAAAAACCAGCGTCCTAACACGAAATTTTATAAGGAATACCCTGGTGATACCCATTCTTCGATTGGAAGCTTAGTTTTTCAGAAAATCCCAAAACGTACGCCATAAACGTCAATTTTGACTAACATTGCTGCGTAGAAAATTGCAATATAAAGCAGGTTCTCATTAAACGACAAACTTTATTTAAGAATCATATTAAAGAGTCGAGTACATATAATCTTGTGTGCGTATTTCAGCGTTGGAACTTAAATAGTTTAGAATATAGACTCTTGAATTTGACAATTATATTAAGAGCGTGGAGAATTCGAAAATCCAAGACTTTTAATTAAATGTTCCTAGAGGGCATATTTCTCTTCCGTATACGACAAATTAAGACATTTTCTGAAACTACATGACTTTTGAAACACGTCAGTCGTTTTAGAATTGGTTTATATTGCATAGTTTGTGAGATATGCGGTTTTTTGTGTTAAAAAAGTAAATTTTTGTTGATTAATGGTTCGACGAAATTTTCTGATTTTTGACATGACACGGATTTTTCTGAAAACCAGGGTCCTAGCACGAGATTTCATGGGAAACACTGGTGATACCCATTATTCGATTAGAAGCTTAGTTTTTCAGATAATCACAAAACTTACGCCTTAAACGTTAATTTCCCCTAAAACAGTAGAAAATTGCAATTTCAAGGATGTTCTTATTAAACGAGAAATTTTAAGACTTAAAATAAAGAGTAGAGTATATACAATCTCGTGTTTGCATTTCAGCGCTGTAGCATGAATAGTTTAGGAGATAGAGGCTACATAATTTGACTATTATTTTAAGAGCGTTAAGAATTCGAAAATACAAGACTTTTAATTCAATTTCACTACTATGTTGCATAGTTTGTGGATATTTGGGTTTCTTTTTTGTGTTAAAAATTGTTAAGTTTCGTCGAACGACGAAATAGCTTTAGGAAGTTGTTTATGTTTGATTATTCCACTCGTGAAATTAAAACTAATAATTATTAACTAGACAACCAATATGCGCCAGTCAGGTCGGAGTATCTAAAAACTTCATCGCTTTTTCTAACCAATTTTTCTTACCTCTCCTACCTACTGGTCAATCATAGTCACCGGCTCATGTATCTTAAAATGCGGTATGTATCAAACTCTGTGTACAATAAGCCGCGTATGTATAAAATAACCTTTTAAACGTAATATAAAATCCTATCGTTTCTTCTTAATACTTCTTACGTGACAACAAGAATATAATTGAAAAATATTCCCCTAGGACGCAATGAAATCGCCAATTGGACAAGTATCTCTGCCCAAGAAGCTGGTCTGCACACAAACAAAAATGATGAATCATTCCGCACGATCCACTACGGTGTCTCGTTTGATTTAGGAAGTACAAAAACATGAGGTAATGAAGACTACAGGACATACTACTACATCATCTCTGACGCCCTACCAGCAATCAATGAGCCACATCAGTCGGCAATTAAACTAGTAGGGCAACAGAATGGCACTGACTTTCCCATATTAGTTTTCTGTTTCCTTTGGTCTCGGCTAGCTATTCGGACTTGCCACATACTCTTGGCAGCAGCTATCTATCGCCGCCCAAATTATATTTTTTGAATTTTTTCTTGTTTTTTTTCGTTTTCCTATTTGTAACAAGGAAATATTATTTTAAGGATATTAAAGAACAGTAAAAAGTAGTCTTAAATGGCAATTTTCTTTAAAAAAAAAGGGGGGGTCAGTTTTTTAGAAAATGGAGCTTAAACGCTACTACAAATTCGACTTTTGAAGCTCTTTTTCACAGAAACTTTTTGAAAATTCGAAAATCTTCATTCAAAGTCATATGAAGCACTTTTACTCACAAATACAACGGTATTCACAAATTTCTGGATATGTGCATATTAACAGCGTGAGAGATCTTTCAAGAAAATTACACTTGTGTAGTTTTTGAAAAAACATAAAATTACCCCAAAATGTACTTAGTTCATTTGAAAGAGTGCAATTAGCACTATCCGTTCTAAAAGTTTGAACAAAAAAATTGGGAGCAATTTTTGAGAAAATGGCTTTGTGTGTATCTAAAAATGCGGTATTTTGAGCTACTTTTCACAGAAGACGGTTGAGTTTCCGAGAAACTTTATCTGACATTTTAAATTGACTTGACTGACTCATAAATACAATAATGTGAAAAAATTGTCACGAGTATTAATTAAAAGACGTGAGAGACAAGTCCAAAAAATTACGTTTTTGTAATTTTTGAAAAACAATATCAAAAGAATAGAGAAATATCGCTTTGATGTCATTTTATAGAGTGCATTAAGCTCTATCGCTACCAAAAGTTAAAAGAAAAATTTTGGAGCCTTTTTTAGAAAATTTTGTTTTTGTTATTTTTTAAAATTGCGCATATTGCATAAGATATTTTGCATAAACTACTAAAAGTTTCAAAAAATGTACATGGCTTTAATAAAAGTACTCACTATGGAGAAGAAATTGTATTTGAAGGAAAAATCTTCATTTTCAATTTTGTAGTTGTATGAAGTAACCTGAAAAATTTTGAAATTTTCGAAAATTCAGATTTATTTATTTATTTAATAGGTAATTATTACAAACAAATTAGCTTACTTGATCCTATGTGGCTAGGCCGAAGGCCTTTAAGCCATTACAATATCTTCATCCTTTCGCGTTCTAATCTTTCGAATTCTGGTATTCACCCAAAATTCAGATTTAAACATGAAAATCGGGCCTATACCTCCTGTATGTTACTCTATCTTTACAAGAAATTTAAAGAAAAGAATTAGCAGCCGTTTTTGAGAAAATTTTGAAAATTTTCGGGGGTAATGCATTCTTGGCTATCAGGTACGAGCCGCGTCTCGGTCAATTGTGCTGATGTTGCTGAGCAATATAGCTCTGAAGAACGCCACAGCAAGATGGCCGAAACGTCAGCACAATTGACCGACACGCAGCTCATCCCGGATAGCCAAGAATGTATGGACTCCAGCCGCGGAAGCTTACGAACGCATGTTGGAGGGTTGCTTCATGTGAAGTATCCCCAAATTTTTAAGATTTTTTTTTTCGAAATCTTAAAGATTCGACTCGATCGTGATGGACCGGGGTTTCTTCTATTTAGAATAATCCTACGTCTGGTTTAGACGCTAGTGGTGTTCACAGACGAATGGAATGACGGACGTTTTGAAAAAACAACCCTTTTTTGGTATGAAGGAACCCCAACACGTGTATTTCCGTTGAAATCACATCGATTTTCCGCAGCATTTCATAACTTTCCCTATATTACTCGGTGTATAAGGCAGGCACATTCATCACCCAACATGTTTCAGAATCCAACACGATTGTAAATAAAAATAATAAAGTTCCTTCAACATTTATTTTAATAATTGCATATTTAATAAATGTACTTGCAACAGAAAGAATATATGTTTGTTACAACAAACTTTTGTTGTTACTTTTAAGCAAAATAAACATTTCATGTCATCTTCTGTATATTTGTGTACTGCTCGCCAGTAACAAATCGCGGTACGGATACGGTGATTGTTATGTTAAAACAATGACCTTCTGTCTTCTTGTGTAAGGCCTTTCCCAAAGTTAGATTGAAGATAACCCAGATAGTAACCTCTCACCTCTTTTGCCAAATGAATCCATGAATAAATTAAAATTAGTCTTTGAATTCACTTCACATTCTGTTCCTTTTGTGCTGCGTTCACTTCATGGGTAATAATGAAAAGTAGTTCAGGATGTCATTTGCACCATTCATTGCTGCCGAATGTCGAATCCGCCTTGTTAATTGCGTTAATTGTTGGGCCCCACGACATCATAAATGTTTGAACGCCTGAGCGCTTCTCCCGCGAGGGGGCGGGGCCACGGGCGATGGCGGTGGGCGGGGCGAGATGCAATCGGGCGAGGCACGCGATTGCCCGTCCTCCCGTCACCGAGCGCTCCCCGCGCTTCGGACATCGTATCGACGCGACAGCACGCGCGCAGCAGAGCACGCTATCGCAGAGATTATCGTATTCCGCTTCAGCTGGCTCGGCTAGAAGCGGGGTGAGTGTGAGTTACTTGCCAATTTAGAAAGAAAGAGGTAGTTCGTATTTTTTTTATATTTTCCTACAAGTCAAATGTACTATTTTAACATTAACTATCATCTATGTATCGCAGCAGCATTTTAAGCAACGATTGTCCGTATAAAATTGTATTAAGTAACTTCCGTGGATTAGAGCCATTCATACAATGCATACATTAAACAAATTTGAAGTATACTCGTATGTACAACGTTTCAAACGTTATTACACATTTCTGCTCAGGTAATCTGCAAATAGCTTTAACATTGTTCATATCACATCTCTGAAAATGTTCTTAAGCAAAGGATACATACTATATGTATATGCGAACCGAGAAATATTTGCAAAGGGAAAATTAGAGTGTAAAATGTATTTACTTTTTGGGATTAGTCTATGAATAACAGATATTTCATGTGTAAGTAATCTTACAATACGCGAGTACAAAACACAAATTGTCAGAAGGCTTGCTCCTTAAAATTAAGAAACGGGGTGGAAAAGCCACAACCAATCGTCATATATTTGTCTTTTTGTCTTGAAGCTATATGCCAATTAACGAGAAAACTATTATTTCCCTTTTTTGTATTTTCAATTAAATTCTTAACCCATATTTTACTCCATATTTGCATACAATATAGAGTCAGTCATTACAGGAGTGAAACATTAACACTATTATGTAATAAAAGTTACCAATAATATAATACTGAAGAGACTCTAGCCGACTTGTATGTTGGCGCCGAAACGCACGTTGGAGCAGAAGTGGAACACCGCCACATACAGAGATATAACATGCACTATACTTATGGGTCTAATGGCTACAGCAGTCTGGAGACTCGAAATAACCAATCAATCAACCTGAAGCCGGTGTGTTGTTTTGCAGCCGTAGTGTCTGCGAGAGGCGCTGCGCGCGAGCGAGACCGCGCATGGCGTGGCCGCGCTGGCTGCGCGCCGCTGCGCGGACGCTGGCCGACTTCTGCGCCTTCTCCTCCTTCCACGGGCTGCGCTTCGTGGCGGACGCGCGCGGCCACTGGACGGAGCGGTGAGCGCCTCCTTTTTTGCTTTCTCGCTGTGGACCAGAGAGAAAAAAACGGCGAATTTTCGGCAGAAAAACTCTTTATCACAACGCTCTGGCAACGAAAAAGTGGATCAATCCAGTTGCTAAATTTAGTAAACAAACCCTCTAACACGTGGTTTAGCCAGAATCCATGTTTTGCGGGTTCTTGATACCGAAAAATCGATTGACGGCAAAATGTCTATCTGTCTGTCCGTCCGTCTGTGAACAATGCGAGTGACTAAATCGTTCATCCGATTTTCTCCAAAATCGATATTCCCCAATCGATCTGGCTGATGTTGCGGCCCCGTGAATTTGATACCGATATTTTAATTTGGGGGGGGGGGGCTTTACATGAAGCCCCTGGAAAATTTTCCAAATTTTCAAACAATTGGCCATCATTGTTGATTAAATTTTGTTGTTAATTAGTGTGAAGGGCTTTTAAGAGAATGGCGCAGATCTAATGGTCGTTAAAAACTAATTTTTCGAAAATTGCAAAAGTTTAAACTTTTTTGGCGGTTTCCTACAACCCCAATTATGAAGATAAAGATTTTTCCCGTAATGAAATCTGTTCCTTAAACACAGATTTCAAAATGCGGTCAAGTACAATGTTTCGAAAATTTGAGTACTTTTCGCGTAGTTTTGCGAGAAAGTACTGACCAGAAAGTACGTAGTTTTAGCACCACTAGTTTATTGTTACTGCTCAGGGTTTATATTCACGCAAAACAGTATGTGTACTATTCTTTTAATTTAACTGAAAGAAATACAGTTTGATTTTTGTTGCATTTACATGAGTGTAGTAGTTTGGAATAAGTAGGTTGCAAGTTATATATTTTTTATTTAACGGGTAATTATTACATTATATATATATATATAATGTATATATATACAAATAATTGCATTACATGTTAACTGTGTGAGGGCCAAAATCGTTAAGCCATCACATCCTTTCGCGTTCTAATCTTTCGAAGTCTGGCTTTCACTCCAAATAGTCTCTCCATTGCATCAAAGCCGCGGAAAAGAGACCAGAAGGTACGGATAAAGAAAAAAAACGTATGTGGCGAAAACCTGCAATAAGAAGACGAGTACATGCTAATCTTCCAAACCATTTATTTTCTGGCATGGACGTTACGCAGTCTCCTCCCAGTGTTTGGTCTCCTCAGCACCAAAAATCAAACAGCAGCGGAAGATCGCACGCACCATTGCCTCTGTACTTACTTCTCGGGCAAAAGCCTTTGAGTGCTTATTTAATTATTTGATGGTCTATTTATTTGTTTATTGATTTACTTATCAATTTGCTATGCTTTTAACTTTATCAATGGTTTCTTATTAACTTAGGGTTACTTATATACTTATTATTTTTTCTCCAGTCAAAGCTCCGCTCATACTACGCCAACCAGTTCTGTTTTCCCACGCGCTAATTACGGTTCCCTAATATTTCAAACTTTTCCTAGAAATGTTCTTAATTCCTATATGAAGCCAGATCTATTAGCACCAGATATGTCCTGGGCGAGCGCTACGTTTCTATGTTGGAAGTAATCAGGCGCGGATCCACAGGGTGGAAATGAGGGAAATTTTCGCTCCTAAAATGTTTCAGTAATTATTAATTTTAACTTGCCGCGAATCTTTAAACAGCAAATATTTTCGGATGATTATTAAAACGAATAAAAACTAACCGTGTAATGAGATGAGTGTAGCCTGCGACATTTTACAAAATCTATAATATGACATATTCGACCAAAACATTTTTAATTTCCCCTCCAAAAATTTGTCTTTGGATCCGCCCCCAGAAGTAATAGTTAACATCCCCATCCATTTTCTCCTCCGTGTTTTTGTACCGCAGCAATTTAAAAGGATGTGAATACAACAATCCCTATCACCGCAGAGCACACAGATGCCATTGCCATTCGAGTACTTCAATCCACGTTGCAATCACTCCCCCTCCCAACCCGAAATCAAGTGTATCCCCCTCTTGCGCTCCTTCTAAGCGTGTGAACGTAACTTTTACAAGTAACTTTTGCTTTATAATGTTACTTAGAGGATCTGCGATTCCCGCGCATCTGTGTAACTTATCAACGTTATAACAATGGAGGCACACGGCAACTCTACACTCGATCTTCATACAGTGACGGATTTCGTGTATTCTACTTTACCTGCTTGTGTGTCTCAGAACATCGGGCAGGTCCCAGGGTTCGAGTTCAGATGGTGGCAGGGCTTTCGACAATACTTTCATATCGAGGTCGAACCTCGCTTGAAGGAGAATTCTATCGGACTGAAGGAGAATACTAGCGACCAGCTGCTCTGATGGGTAGTTTTTCGTGGTTTCACTGATGAAAACTAAGCGAATACCGGAGCAGTACTCTAACAAACGGTCCAAGAACCGCGCGCGATCTTTCCTTTATCTTCCTTGCCCTAAGCTCACATCTTGCGGACACAGAAACGTGCAAGCACCACACTACAACACATGCCGGGAGATCCGACGGAGATTGCGACACGAGCCATATAGGCCAAGTGGCGCAATGCTACCAGCAAAATAAAATCACTTTTGCCGCACACAATTTTTAGACAGCCTTATTGACTTTCCTTTTATTTTAATTCAAGTAGTATACAAATCAAATCACTTATTTGGATACCATATTGCATTAAGCTCAGCTATAGCTGATCAAAGAAAGTATTTTGTTTTCTTTGTTGCATTCAGCATTGCCTGAACATTTTGAGCATCGTCCCACTTTTAGCACTTGCGCTTATAATTGAATGTTTAGCATGTTGTGCGTGCCCTAAGAGTAACGGCTTTTACAAGGGGTTATCTAAAAATATATTTCTTTACAGCCACTACAAAAAGCGGTTCTTTCTGGGCATGCTTGCATGCATGCATACCGTGCTAAACGTTCAATTTTTAGCGCGTGCTCAAGGGGTCTAATAAACATATGACTGCCACAAAGCAAAATCGGGAGAAGTGGCTCAGGGGCATCAACAGATGTCATTGCAGTGCCCCTGACCGGGAGGACCTAGGTTCGAATCTCGATGGTGGCAGGATTTTCGGCATTAGCTGGATAGCTAGCTCGAATTCCGTCGCCGTTCGGAGGAGAATTCTGACGGGCCTAATGACCTTAGTAGTTGAAGCGCTCGGAATGGTCAATCACAGTGAAGTAGAACGATGAAACGTCTCTTGATGATAACCAACTGATCAATAGTTTCTCCTGAGATGGTTGGATAACGATAGACCCCAAAAAATCATTACACTGCAGGAATGAGCAAGAGATACATTATTTCAGCACATTCTCTATTTTACCTTTATTCTCATGGCAATCGTCGAAAACTATCGAGCCATTACTACTAAAGAGGTTTTGCTTTTTCCGAACGAACATCAACCCCTGGCATCGAAAATGCGAATACATTCTCTACATACATACTAGTATATATGAACATTACTTCCTCTAGGACGTGGTGTAGCCAAAACTCATGGTTTGTGGGTCTTTGATACTGAAATATCGATTGACGGGAAAGCATCCAGCCGATTTTATTCAAAAAAGATATTCCCCGATTGGTCAAAACGAACTCGTTTTTTGTGAGTTTTAAACGGATATTTTGATTTTTGAGGATACTTCTCATGAAGCTTAAAAAACATTTTTTTAAATAGCCTAATTTTTATTAACCTTTGTTCTCGGATAGCGTAAAAGACGATTAAGGCAGGTCTCATATTTGTTAAGATGTCTGATTTTGCGAAACTTTCAAAAGTGCAATATTTTGGGAGGGTATTCGTACAGCTACAATATCGAATACGTAGTTGTTTTTTTTTTAAATAAAATATGTTCTTTAAAGACATGTTGATATAAAGGCATGTTTAATTTTTCGAAAGAATAGTAGTTTTCGTGTAATTCTTCACAAAATATTAGCAATTTAAAATTTTTTAAACCATTTTTTTTTCAAAAATT